GTTACGGGTGCCTATATCTTCGGCAATTTTCCCCAAATGACTTGTCCTGACTTGTAATATTGCGAGTAATAAACGTGGGGCAGTACACTTTTTACAACGCTTTTTATGGTAACCGTAATAAAATTCCGGTGGGCCCAAAACATTCGTCGCTCAGTGCATGTGTCAGCATCCCCGAAGAGGTCAACTCCGGAACACTATATCTACACATAATCTCATAAACACTAGAGTGGGTAACTGTACACCCTAAGAATAAGTAAAAGTAGAGTTTAAGTGGTTGATAAAATCGCTTGAACAGTCTTCGACTTTACAATTTCTCGATAATCAAAGGGTAAACGCACGCTTTATGGAAATTGAAAATAAGCGAAGGTTGGATGGTCGGCCTATACTTACACACGGTTCGTCGGACGCTAACTGTATATCAATTATATCACGCCAAAACGAAAGAAAATAAACTGGAAATCTGTTCCGCTTTCTCATCGCTATTCACGCCCGTTGTGGCGGCATGATTTTCAACCCTCCCCGGATAACCGACGTTTCCGGCGAAGGAAACGTGGTTTCCATATCGGTCGATCAAGGGTGGTGCATACGTATCACAAGGCGGTTCTTATAAATTGATGAGACGACCGAGTCCGCGCGAACTAGATGTATCCAGATGCCGCATCTCGTATTCATGGTGCTTCTTCGATCAGAGGGAGAGAACGAGAGGAGCCCCGAGTCGGCGGAAGAGGAAAAGGCGGTGGCGTGACCGGCAGAGAGAGGAGAGAAAAAATGGAAAAGTCGGGTGAACGCGTACTCGCTGCGAATTCAGCGCGATTAGAATATATCGCGACGGGAATGGCCGGGCGCAATATCGTTCCCCGGAAACCGCAGCCTTGAGAGCAGCGGACGGTGCGGTTAAACTACCGCAAAGCAACGAAATGTCAGCATTAATATTTCAACCGTCTCTTGTGCGCCGGCCAACGGTCGCCTCTATGCTTATTACACTTATTGTATCGTGGCGCGGTTTAAATATTAAAATCTCGTTTCCCGCTGAAGCCCGCTGGCCAACGACCACGGAAGAACGCGGACCGGAAGGGCGCATCGATCCGATTTTCGGACCGACTCGTATCCACGCGAATCGTTGCCGCTCGCCGTGGAACGAAACCCACAATATGTGATCAAAATATGAAATTTTTAAATTAGCGCCACATTCCAGTACTCGTTTGAGATAACCAATTTTTATTTCGTGGTCCTTTCGAAGAAAATAAAAATGTAAAAGTATGGAATTTATCTTGCACCGCGAACGAGTGAGAAAAGTTTCTTATGGAAAATCGTTACGGAGTACGAAATGCGGATGTATCATAAGAATTCTGAAAGGAAAAAATCGAGAGGGGTTTATGGTCAGCCGCAGGCAGTTGAAAACGCAACATAGACGGGCACAAGCCTGCTGCTCCCGTATCTGGTGGTATCAGAAAGGTGTAGACTATTATGAACTCTTTAAAGCAGGTGGAACAATTACAGGAGATCGATACGTTCAGCAATTGAATCGTTTGCACACGGCGGTTCGAGCGAATCGACCGTCTTATAAAGGTCATATTGCCTCGCGACAACGCGATGGCTCGTGTAGCTGATCAAGTAAAAGAAAATTGCCTGACTTTAAATGGAAAGTTCTGCCGTAACCAGTATACTCTCTGGACATCGTGCCATCCGATTTCCACCTTTTTCGTTCGGTGATACGCGCTTCCGAAATGATGCTGAAGCGACAGAATGAGTTAACGACTTCGTGGCTTCAAAGAACGTGGAATTTTTTCGCCGCGTTCGTCGATTGCTTGAGAAATGGCGAGGTTTAAGAAAAAAAGAAGAGCGCCTCTTCGATGGCGTGGACAAGGAAAGCATAAATAAATCGAATTAATAAGAAATCATTAGTGTTTTCGAAAGAGTAAAATCACACATTTTATTATATCGTAAAAGGATGCTAAGTATCCGACTCATTGGAAGAAGAGTCACTCGAGGCACTTAGAGTCGCAGAAACTTGAAGTAGCACTTGGAACCACGCGAAACAGAGTGGTACTTAACACCTTTCTATATTTTTTATAAGAACTTGTTCCTGTATCAATGCAGTTTCATTTCTGCTAAATATTTGCTCCCTCCGTCGGTAGAACTTCGAAACGATACGTGTGATCCATAAACAGAATTTATATCCGCGATCGTAGTCATCGCGCAGCATTGCGGAAATACATATTTGTTAAATCGTCGGATGAATCATCGAAATAGTGAACCTGAACTCTGTCGTTTTTAAAAATGTGAGAACGTATCGAGGATAATGTTCCACGGTTCTTTTGTCTTTCGTCGAGGTCGCGTTTTTCTTTATTGCGTATTGCAAAATGGAGTTGCTCTCGTTTCGTTTGTGCTTACGAAGTCTGTCGAAGCGGAACGCTCGCAACGATGTTGTACTTATCGTTTGGGTATAATGTCACAGTATTTTTGGCCAAGGGGTGACGATCGATCCTCTCGCCACATTGTTTCGCGAGATTCTAATGGAGTCGACGTGGCTGCTTCTCGACGGCCGCTGAAAGTCCGTCGTGTTCACCTGTCCGAAATGTTGGCGAGTAGCTGTACAGGTGTCTCGTCTACGTAACCGGGTGAATGGGGAATACGTGCACGATAGGTGCCACCGACGAGACGCACACGGCTGACCTTTATGAATACTAAGGGAGAAGGGGTTGCTGGGACGAACACGCGATTCGAGCTTGTCAGAAGGCGATCGTTCCGAATTAATAAGTGACTGGTTCGCCAACAGCGACATGACAGACTGAAGGATTGATGCCTCGTCCGCGGCGAACACGAAAATCTCAATGCTGCCGAGAAATATCAACTTTATGGACGGTCGAGTTTATTAGCGGGAATCGATCGGCATTAGAATAGCAACTTTGTTATTTATTTAACGCGAATCTCCCTTCTCGCGATAGAGAACAACTAGAAAATAATGCAGCGCTTCTTTCGAACGTTTTAAAAAAGTATTCGCAGGTAGATTTTCCTTTTAGAAAAGGAAGACACGCTTACTCGTGTTTTTATGCATCGTCGAACGATTTACAGCGAGGATGGAAACAGGACGACGTGTTTAGTGGCCAGTTCGCGACGGAACCGTGAATACGAAAGAAGCGCGAACTTTTACGATCCTCCGGAGACTTTGCACGGGAACAGGGACTGATCGTATTTATCGAATTTCTTCTTTTTTCACGAAACCGATCCACGCTCGCTTCGGGCTCGATGACGTCGATTAATCGCCGCAGTGTTCCGTTGATCGCGTAGGAAAGTATTTTCAGGTCAATTCGAAGCGTTTCCTTTCGGTCGGTCGCATTATCATCTTAACGATTCGGACGACACTGATCGCAGCCGTTAGTTGTGCGCTCGGTATTTATGGATCATACCAGCCGCGATTTAATCGACCTTTTTTCCTTTCCTCTCTCGAATCGGCAAGGGACATCGCTTCGGGCATTATTTTGTACGCCTGTGACTAATGTGCCCGTTGGAAAAAGTCGATCCACGACTGGATGCACGAACGAGGTCGGTGTTCATATTTAATGTAAGCGTGTGCCAGTTTCCGACGACAGTCCTTCGTTTAATAATGAAAACCGGCGCATCAAGGATCTCGCATTGTTCGTTTTTCAGAGGCGCGCGACAATCGCTTAGACGACGCGGCACTGGCATTCCCGTCACCGTTTCCATTTCCAGTTGTCCGTTTGTCGAACGCGCGATACCTCTATTTATTTCTGGAAATCAGTTACGAAAGAAAATAGTTATTATTAAGCTGTAAAATACATAACATATCATTTGGTGTATGAATTTTCTCACGGATCCTTAATTTTTATTTTATAAAAATCAGTTCCCCCACTCGCCCGTAGCGTCTTAGCCCTGACAACTGTCATCAAACTCAGCGTTTCGTGTCTCTCGCGTTTTTTCTCTCGAGCAGCCCACGAGACACAAAAATCAGCGACCCCGTCATCCCCTGTCCCGTCGATATGTCATCGTTAGAGTCTCGGTTATTTTCCACGGCGGAAAGCGCGCAGATCCGGTCGTATTTGCGGTGGTTTATTCGCCGGCGGTATTGAAATGTCGCCCGTGTGTGTGTACGTCCGTTGAGAGCGGACGAAAGGAAAGTAAAGGTGGGATTATCTGAATACAGTCGTTTCAGGGGTGAGTTGCGACACCCCAGGGGGTAGTAGGTGGCCGCCCTCGGCCACGCTGGACGGGTCTTCGCCCCCCCCGCGTGACGTATAGTGGTCATCCTGGATCCGAATTACCACCATCTTCTTTCCACGAGCACGCCGCGCCACCGAGGGGTTCAAATAGATTATTTGAATATCGACCGAGACTCGCCCCGTTTCTGGGAATCGCGAATGCGAACGGGGAGGACCAGCGTCCCGCCATGTGTCACGATGATTGCTCGCGTTTTAGCATAATTTCAGCTGATTGATAACGGCTCGGGGTGTCTGCGCGCTATCTCCACGATCATGGTTCTGCCGTCCCCCGGTTTAATCAGGCTGGATGTTGGGCACAGAGTTTCTGGGAATTATAGGGGTGCGCGCGGTCCTTTATTCGCTGCCTTCGAGGGATTGGAATTACTTAATTTTCCTTCTCGAGACGCATTTTGTTTGCAAATAATATGCACGATGACCGGAGCTGTTAATTTAATTTTTTTCTTCATGAAATATTAATGCTTCCCTGACTGATGGTATATCGAGTCAGTTAGGACTGGGTTATGAGCAAAATAATATTTGGATCGAATCATACTATTACGCAAAGGGTTAAAAATCGTTTCCATGATCGACGTATGAAACTCGCGAACGATCGTGTAGGATGATCTTCGATCGGGAAAGGACAAGTGACGCTCGGCTTGGGACCGAGGGAAATTCTTTTCGGAGTAACGTCCATCATTTTTACGGGAGAAAGACCGAGTTTCCCGGTCGGTTTTACAACGCGACGTCACTAACGAGGCCCCGTTGCACTTTTTGTTGCAGCCAGCGACGCGCTCGGCCGAATCGATAAGGAGCCAGCCTCGCCGGAATCCATACAAGGTGAGTTTGCACAGAGTTTCATCGTCCGTCTGTCGTCCGTTCCTCTCTTCCTCGCTCCCTCTCCCTTTCCCTCGCTCTCCCCGAGCCTCCATCTTTCTCTCTCTCTCTCTATCTCTTTCTCTCTCTGCCGCGATACGATTAACGTACCGAAGGGCTTAACCTTCGCCGATGGCAGGAACATAAATTTCACAAACGAATAATACGACACGGCGGACTGAGCGAAAGGCGAAGTATCGGCATTATAAATCCGCGTCGTTATTTCTTAGCCTCCTTTTTGCCGGTATGGCCGCTGAAACGGGGCAACGTTTAATTGCAACGATGAGCTTGCGTTGTGACGCGGACGCAGAAAATCGCCGGGAAAGGAGAGGACTGATTGAGAAATTTTCAGACCGCAAAGAAGTCGAGGGAACGCGCGCCATGGGGATTTTATTAATCGGGCGGGACGGAATTGGTTCCCGGTCGGAGCCAGATGAAGGATGCAAGATCCATCGGTCGAACGATGCATCGCTTCTTTTTTTGCATTTTCTCTTCTTCTCCGTGTCCCGTTTATCGCTAGAAAAACTTGCTGTCACACGAAGAAAATTGTACCCTCGAACCCGCTTAATATTTCGAATTTGTATACAAAGTTCTATCAAGACAAGAATGTGTTTGCATTTTTCGGAAAGATCGTTGAATCGTTCGACCTCCATTCATTGAACTTACAATTGTTACGAGGTTCTCGCAAAAAATGTCGACCGAAAGGACGCCAGTCCGTCATAAAGTACACGGAACAGAAGGTCGTTCCGCGAGCATCCCCCCCGTCCCATTGGCTAATCTTTTTCCACGTAAAATATGTCATAAAACCAATTACACTCAGCGAGCACCGCCCACTCGGGTCCACGGCGGTTTGTCATTTGCCTCGGAGAATTCTTTCGCAGCGTGTAACCGGCCTTTTAACTTGGGGCATTATCCGGCCAGGCTCGCTAAACTCCGGGACTTGGACTTTTCGTCGGAGTCGTAAAAGGGCGCGGAATCCTCCCTCGACGTCGTCGAGCCCCCGGGGGCCGAGCCAGGCCTTTTTTTCCGGAAACCTCGAGAACCTGCCAATCGAGTAAAATTTCGGCAGATTTTATCACCTGGCCGAGCGGGAATCGACGACCGTTGGCTCTCGATACGCTCGGCCATCGAGCACGCGACTTCCCACGCGACAGCAGAAAAAGGGAACGACAGGTCCGAGAAGGATCCGATAATTTAGGCTCGCGTGAGAACCGTCGACCCTCCGTGTGTAATTCTGCTGACCGTTCGCGTCGTCTAGAAATTGCCAACGCACTTCTAGGGACTGTCACGTGTCGCGAAATGTAACACGTCCGGGGATCTTGCCTCCTCGCGGAGACTGTAATGACGGGGACGTTGGACTTTAACGAGTGGATCAGCGACACGTTCGAAATCCATCTCGATGCGTGGGGCTCGACCATTTTGGGAGGGATCCCTGCGTTATTTTATTCTGATTCTAATTTATTAATTTATCTACTAAAAATTGTAAAAACCTTTTCGAAATCGTCGGAAGATCGTGTGTCCAGAAACAGTCGACCTTGGACGGCGAGCAAAACCGCGGGAACGTTGAGTCCGGTGCATCGAAAGCGTGTGTCTTCTGGAAGAAAAATAAGCATCGCGAGAGGCGGGATGCTAACAAAGCTTGGGAAGACGCAAAAAATCGACGCTGGGACCCGGAGTCTCGGAAATCCCGAACCGGTCGTAACTTAGGAGAGACTCAGGAGGATCCTCTGGCGAACGCGGTCGCCGCGAATTCGGGCTGCGTCTGTATCTGTCTCTACGACCGCGAGCAGCGACTCGGGGGCGAAACTCAAAAGGAGCGAACGATCGACGTGGAGTGGGGGGTGTGGAGGGACTCGGAGAAGGACCCAAAGGGCGAGGGGGACCGGGAGATCATTGCCGACCCGTGTTTTATTTTATAGCATTTAGCCCCATTGTTTGTCTTATTGCTATTAGCCTCCGTCAATTAGTAATTGTATTTTTAATGCCGATTCCGTGAATTGGGTCCGGTGCACCGGAGGTTGGGCCCGGTCGAGGGGGCCCAATGGTGAGGGATCCAACCTTGGTGGTTCGAGGGAAGTCGGTAGGAGAAAATCAGACGTCGAATTGGTGGGGATTCGAGCGGTCAGGTGGGAGAAGGGGCCCGCGGTTGGAGGGGGGCATGTCATTAGGAGTCGTTAATATCACGGACCTCTGTAATTTGACACACTTCCGATCGCCTAGCGCCACCACCGCCACCCGCTCCATTTTTCTTTCTTTCCTCCTCCTTGAGCTGTCTATCCTTCTCTCTTCTCTCTCCCTTAATTGTTCGTTCCTCTTTTCGTTGATTTCTCTTTCGTTGGCCGGTGGGACCGTAGCTACGACGTCGAGGTACACGATATCCCTGTCGTTTCGAACAGGTGGCAGAGGTCGATGAAAGAAAGTGGTAAACTGCCAAGAGTGACAGGTTGTCGAAGAAAACGTGGAACTGTAAATAGTGCACGGAGTCTTAATAAAGCGTTACAAGATGTTTCCCCAGAGATCAATTAAGACATCGACTTTTAGCCATTTAGACTCTATTTATAAATAACTAACTCTTATTTTGGTACGTAGAACCACATCTCAAAGTTTCCGACACCTGTAGCTGAACGCCCTGTACACACAAACTAATCCTCTCGCACCCTTTACTTCTTGTCTAAGCTGGTTCTCAGTAGCCTCCGATCGAGCGTTCCATGTTAACTCCTTGTCGTGCAAATTGTTTCAAGCTACCGTATCCCAATCAGTGTACATAATCGTCATAGATGAGACAAATATATTTCATGTTCTTTTAATTGAAGCGAAACGATTCTTAAATTATACGAGTGTGCACCAAAAATGGACTCTAGAATATTTTTCTATGCATATCTGTAATAGTCGATTGCTATATTACTTTACGAGATATTTTAAAGAAAGAAAAATGTATTTTCTGTCGACGAAGGTGGAAGTTCCCCTCGAGCAATAAAAATGTCGAACGCTCGAGGCTCGCGATGGTACGAAATTTTTCGCGCCATCGACCACGTCGAACAGGTGCAAATCGTCGGATACTCTGCGTTAATTAACTCTCGTGTCCTCGATAATGAATCGCCGAAAATTAACTGGTCGGTGCGCGGTGCATCGAGCCGCGACGCGCTGGTTGGGAATCGACGTTGCAGGCCGGTTGCGAAATTGCGTTTGAAAGAACGGTCAGTGTCGTTCGGAATGCAAGCAGCCGCGATCGATATGATCCGCGGATGCTAATCGAATCGCTAATCGTTTATTCCTGCGACGTACAGGCACACCTGTTCGACCGATATGGTCAGACCAGAGATTCTTTTAACGCGGGCTTCATGGAGATCTCTCGAACGGAGAACGGCCAAGTCCCTTATCATACTTTGTAATGCGAACTCCCGACGAGATTTTCTTCGTTCTTTCTACCGTCCTTTTTTTCCGTTACTCCCTCGTTTTAACGACGATCAACGAACGATAAGCGAAAAACCGCGACTCCCGGAGCTGGGCTACGTCGAAGACGAACCGGGTGTCGGCGGTTATACTAGATATCTATCCGAGAATCGTTCGGTTCGATTCTGCGGGTCGACTCCGTAATTTATGGCTTGATTCTCCTCCACCTGTCGATCGTTATCCGGTGAAGACGATATCACTATTGTTTCTGTTGATACACACCGCCGTGAGAGTCTGTCCACCTACTTTATTGAAGCGTCTGGACTCCGACTCCTAATGCCAAGTAGTCGCAGAAGGCAATAGGATATTTTATTTCATATTGTTCAAACGGTACCAATGGATAAGAAATCGATATTGAAATTGATACATAATTTGTACGTAAGGTTCGTGCTTCAAAATGTCCGACCGTAAGAGCTTAAATGGTCAGTAATAGACGCCTGTGATCAGAATTAAATAACGTTTGCTATCGTAGCGGGCGATCAGGTGCAGGAAAGAAATCAGAGGTTATTAAATATCTCTCATAGTACAACTGGTATAAATCTATGCAAACAAAATTATATAGTTCCATCAATTTCATTTTTCCCCAATATCGAGTCTCGATCGAGAGTTCGTAATCTTCGAATGGAAGCCCCCGATTGTCGTCGCAACGATCATGCAAATCGCTTGCGACATCGCCAACGCAGCTCCGTTTCCTCGAATTGGAGCAGCCCCGACATTTTTGGTAGACGATGCCCCGAGAAAGCGATTCGGAATCGCGAACGAAGGACGAGATCGACGTGGATGGAAATCCTGAACGTCGCAACGGGGATCGGTTTTGCTTGGAATGCAAACGACTCGCGCGATAAACTCGCACGAAGTAGCGACGGTCGCACGGCCGCGGACGATAATACGTCTTCCTGGTGATTTTGTTATTCAAATCGGCCGGGAGGACCGAGGTTGACCGTGGAAAACCGCTATTGAATGCCGAAACGGCTTCCCGACCCTCCCCCGAGAACTTCCATTCACGCCTGGCAATCCAGAACGTCCGGTTCTTGTAGCGCCGTCCCTGGAAAAGCCGGTCGCTTAGTCGCAAAAAGCCTTACCGCGTATCGTTCGATTCCCGTTAAGCTTAAACGTCGATCTTGCGCCGTTCGACTACGGGAAACGGACTCTCGAGAGCTGCACGACGAACCCTCTGTTTGCTAATCTGCTGCTTCCACGAAGACGCGAATTCCCTTCTTCCTGCCACACTCGAAACCCAACACACTCCGTTTCCGCGAGTAAATCAAATTTTAACGCCGTTATAGTACAATTTTTAGAGCTTCTAAGAAACCTAAACAACACATTCTTTTACTGTTTTTCTATTTGGTCTGGATCAACTACCATTGCGTTCAATATACAGGGTGCTCGATCATCCTTAAAAAAAATTGTAATGGGAGATTCTAGAGACCAAAATAAGACGAAAATCAAGAATACCTATTTGTTAATAGAGGCTTCGTTAAAAAGTTATTGAGAGTGAGAACCACTCTCAC